ACCCATAAATCAAATTTCTATATATAAATGATGAATCCACTGAAAGAGAAATTAGGAAAACTACCCCATTAAAAATAGCTTCAATCTAACAAAAGAGGTGAAAGACCTCTACAATGTAAACTACAGAACACTAAAGAAGGAAATTGAAGAAGACCTTAGAAGATGGAAAGATTTCCAATGTTCTTGGAAGACAGAGTTAATATTGTCAAAATGGCCATACTACCAAAACTGATTTAATGCAATGCCTACTAAAATCCCAATGACATTCTTCATAGAACTAAAAAAAAACAATCATGAAATTCATTTGGAAAAATAAGAGACCCAGAATAGCCAAAGCAATCCTTAGCAAGAAAAGTGCAATAGGAAACATCACAATACCAGACCTTAAACTATACTATAGAGCAATAGTAACAAAAACAGCATAGAATTGGCACCAAAATAGCCATGTAGACCAATGGTGCAGAGTAGAAGACACAGAGACCAACCCACATGAACACAGTTATCTCATACTAGACAAAGGCACCAAAAATATACATTGGAGAAAGGATAGCCTTTTCAACAAATGGTGTTATAAAAACCAGAAATCCATATGTAGCAAAATGAAATTAAACCACTATTTCTCACCATGCACAAAACTCAACTCAAAGAGGATCAAGGACCTAGGACTTGAACCAGAGACCCTGTATCTAATAGAAGAAAATGTGGGCCCAAATCTTCATCATGTTGGATTAGGCCCCAACTTCCTTAACAAGACTCCTAAAGCACAAGAAATAAAATCAAGAATCAATAAATGAGATAAATTCAAACTAAAAAGCTTCTTCTTAGCAAAAGAAACAATTAATGAAGTGAAGAAAGAGCCTACATCTTGGGAGCAAATTTTTACCACATATACATTAGATAGAGCACTAATCTCTAAGATATATAAAGAACTCAAAAAACTTAACACCTAAAAAACAAACAACCCAATCAATATAATTAAGACTGGAGATAGTTAAAGAGAGAATAACGAAATTGAATTTATCCATTATACAAAGCAGAGAAACACAACAATTTTTCATAAAAGAACAATGAACAGATATGGAGGAAAGAGGAGTTCTACAAGAATAGAGGGAAGGCAATATATAAAAGTAACTGAGAATTTCCAGAAGTGAAAAAGGCCAGAATCTTCTAATTTAAAGTGCACCATAGGTATTATCTAAAGATAAAACCATGCTTTAGTAAAACTTCAGAAATCAGGGGTAAAAAGAAAAATCCTAAAACCATGAGAATGAAATACAAATCACCTACAAAAGAATAGGCAACTTATGGCATACTTATGGCAATAAGACATGGCATGGAGGAAGTAAGGAAACAAAAAGAAGTATGCTGTACTCATTGTACAGTAATGACTAAAGAAGTATAAAGAATGTAAAACTATCAAAGTAATAAAAAGGAGAAACCGAATGGTTTAAAACCAACTCAAAAAAAAATCAATAAAATAAAATAAAACCAACTCAATCCAAAGAATAAAGAGAGAAAAGAAAAATTAGGGACACAGAATAAGTGGCACATTGAGAATGTGCTTTTAAAAGATGGTAGATATTCCAGAAGTGGTGGCACATTCTTGTAATCCTAGTGACTCCAGAGGCTGAGGCAGGAGGATTTCAAGTTGAGGCCAACCTCAAAAACTCAGCAAGACCCTCAGCAACTTAGAGAGATCCTGTCTCAAATAAAAAGTATAAAAAGGACTGGTGATATAGCTCAGTGTTAAAATGTCCCTAGGTTCAACCCCCAGTACCAAAAATTTAAAAATATTTTTTTAAAAAAGATGGTAGATGTACATCCAAATATTACCACCTACATTCAATGTAAATTGAGTAAATATTCTAAGTAAAAGAAAAAGATTGTTGGTATACTTTATTAAAAAGAAAACAGGGATGGGCATGTAACTCAGAAGTAGAGTACTTGTCCAGATTGGGCAAGGCCCTGGGTTCAATCCCTAGAACTAAAAAAGAAAACCTACCATGTGCTATTTATAAGCAAAGGATACAAGATTGAAGGGGCTGTAGTTCATTGGCAGAGCGCTTGCCTAGCATGGATGAGGCACCTGGTTCAATCCTCAGCACCACATAAAAATACATAAAGGCAAGCTGTCCATCTACAACTCCAAAACGAATTTAAATTTTAAAAAAATACAAGAAAAAAATAGACTATATAAATACTAATCAAAATAAAGCTAGTATGGGAGTGGGAATTTAGTTCAGTGGTAGAATACTTACCTAGCATGCATGAGGCCCTGGGTTTGACCCTCATACAAAAAAGAAAAAAGAGGAGGAGAAAAAAAGAAGAAAAGCTAGCATAGGTAGATTAACAGAAAATAAAATAGATCTGCAGGCAAAGAGAACATTTCACATTTAATTCATCAAGGAGAACATTTCACATTTAATTCATCAAAAAGTATATTAATTTCCCCTTCCTTTTCTCTTTCTCTAGCTCCTTATCGTGCTGGTGAGACTCAAACACAAGAACTCAGGCATGCAAAACACAGATTTCTAATTACATTGTAGACAAAGAACATGTTCTGTATAAATTTTTGTTCAAAATCTGTAGAGATTAGCCTTAGTTCCCAGTATATTATGCGTTTTTTATGTGTGTGTATGCTAGAGAAGAATACATATCAATTTTGGATACAGTTAAGTTTATTTTATCAATTTTGCTAGTTATGGCTTTCAAATATGTATTTATACTTTCGTTTTATCCAGTCTAAGAGTTAAAATCTCCACTTTCAGTCTGGGTTTACCAATTTCTATTTTTTGTTGATAATTTTATGTTTTATATATTTAAAGTTATGTTATTAGACTCATAAATTCAGATTGTTGTATCTCAGGGAAAAAGGGGACTGGAGAGGTGAGGTGGCATGGGTGCAGGAAAGATGGTGGAATGAGATGGATATCATTACTCTAGGTACATGTATAACTGCACATATGGTGCGACTCTACATTGAGTATAACCAAAGAAATAAAAGTTGTGCTCCATTTGTGTACAATGAATCAAAATGCATTCTGCTGTCATATATACCTAATTGGAATAGAAAATAAAATATATCTGCAAGATGGAGTTTAGTGTTAAAGTATGTTCTTTGCATACCCAAGGCCCTGTGTTTAAACCCTTCAATCCTTCTTTTCTTAATACTGAACATGGACTTTGGAAGATTTATTTGCCAGTTGACACAGTGGTAGGCTTTATTAGTAGAGGGGGCTGGAGGGAAAGTACAGGAAAAGGGATTTATCTTCCTATTCCAGCTGCTTCTGGTCCATTCCTATGGCCTGGCACATTTATGGGACTCCAGAGGTGCTCACTCTCAGCACACTCTTTTACCAATCCCACCCCTTGATCACTGTCCCCATGACTGGAGGCAACCAGCAAAACAAATGTGCATAGCAGTTTCATTTGTTATAGCCAAAAGCTAAACCACCAAAATGCCCTTCAATAGGTGAATGGCTAAACAAACTGTGACACATCCACACCATGGAATACTACTCATTTTTCACCATTATTGGTTACTACTATATCGAATCATTACTTTCAAAATTGACAAACATCATGTTTTTCCTACCTTGCCTGTACAAATTGAGTTACAGAGTAACCAAACAGTTGCTGAGAAAAGTTCTCAGCATGATTCTAGCTAGTAAATGGAAAAGGAATGAGCAAGTCATAAAACCACCTTTTCAACCTTAATGAAATTATGGATCTAACTCTGAACACTAATGAACAGTACAACCATTAGGCAAAGGCTAATGGAAACTTTATAATCAATGTCAGCTGATAACACATGAATCTACTAAAAGTGAAATTTCACAGGCTGTAGATGCAATGTAATAGGAACCACAAAGCACCACCCAGGAAATATTTGTTTTGTTGTTGTTCTATTAGGTATATATGACAGCAGAATGCACTTTGATTCATTGTACACAAATGGAGCACAATTTTTATTTCTCTGGTTGTACACAATATAGAGTTGCACCATATGTGCAGTCATATGTGTATCTAGAGTAATGATGTCCATCTCATTCTACCATCTTTCCTGCCACCTCCTCTCCCCACTCTCCCTTTTTCAGGAAGTTCCTCCACTCTTCCCATGCTCCCCACCCCCCATTATGGATTAGCATCCACTTATCATCATTCCGCCTTTGGTTTTGGGGGATTGGCTTAGTTCATTTAGCATGATATTCTCCAACTCCATCCATTTACCTGCAAATGCTATAATTTTATTCTCTTTTAATGCTTGAGTATTAGTCCATTCAACTGTTAAACTGGAAAAAAAACTAAACTACATCACAAGCAAGCACTCAGTCAAATTCATTAGATGGGAAAGTCTACAAGAAAAGTAATCCAGTTTGTCAACAAGGGCTTGTAAAAGGGGGCCAAAAATGGATGATTATAAACAAATGCAGAGTTGAATCTAATCAAGATCCTGATTCAGATAAAACAACTATGAAAAGACAATATCTTAAGAGACAGCTGAACCCATATTGGATATGCAGAGATATTAGAATTTAATAATTTATTATATGTAATTATGTATTTTTTAAAGTAATAATTTGTTAGAGATGCATGCTGAAAACTCAGATGAAGTGCATTGTGGGGCCAGGTTGGGTGGTGCGGGCCTGTAATCTCAAATGATTCTAGAGACTGAGGCAGAAGGATCACCAGTGGCGGGTCAGTGTGGGCATCTTAACAAAATTGAGCCTTAAAAGAAAAAATTAAAAACATCAGAAAGTGTGTGTGTATATATACATGGTTCAGTACTAAAGCATTCCTGGGTTCAAAATAAAAGGGAGAGAAAGAAGGAAAGAAAAGAGAAATGAAATCCGATGTCTGGAATATTAAAGATATTCCAGCCCTCACCTCTGCCTCCCCCAAATTGCAGATTACATGAAACAATACAGACAGAGGTCCTACTACCAACCCTGTCCCACGCAGGTGTCTCCTTGGGGCGGCCCTTCCTGAGCAGCACTCACCGTGGCTTACTGTCTCTTACAGCGCGAACAGGTCAGACCCCCGAGGAATCAAGTCAGCCGGTAGCGAATTTGCATCGCCCCGCCTCTGCACTAACGACTGTCAACGTTGGCCAACATCCACCGAGAGAGAAGCGTGCGCTGCCAGGCCCCCCGCGCCACTGCACCTGCAGACTCCACTACCCCGGCACAAGACAGCCAGGACCTAGAAGACCAGGGGTTTGCGAGGGCTGCGCCATTGAGCTTGGGCGGTAGAATACTGCCCGGCATTAAGTGGCATTGGGAACTCTGGACGCAACGGACCTTTAAGGCTGTGGGTGGGAATCCAGACCACAACTTCTGGTTCAGTGCCCCACTCCCTCTGCTTTTCGGACCGGTGCAGGGGTGTTTAGTTGAGCTTCTGTCCATTAGCGCCAAGTGTACTGGGCGCTCAGCAGTGGCTGACTTGATCAAATTGGCCTATATTTTACCAAATACCCCAAGGTCAAAGCGCTGCACTCGAGAATCCAAACCCTGCATTCTGGTCCTGGCTTTTGTCAGCTTATAGCATGTTTGGAGTTTCATTATTTTGTCTCTAAAACAGAGGAACCCTGCCCTGCCACCTCCACAGAGCTGTGCAGTATCTTCAGCCTCAAGAGATGAATGCGTCTAAGTGAAAGCGCTCTGGAGATGACAGTTCCGTGGAATTGTTCCTACTCCGTGCACGGCACCGCCCTGCAAAGGTGGAAGAAGTTACGACTTTTTTTCAAAGGGCTCACCTTCAAATTAGGACAAAACATCCCTTCTGCTCCCTAAAGTTTCTCCTTTTTTCAGTTGGGAATTGGGCTAGTTGATTCTCAACTTTTCTGAAAGTATGATTCTATAAAATAACAGGGAGCACTTTATGCAAGCGTTCCTGGGAATGACTCTGGAAATTGTCTGGACTTCCGGACAGGGCAGGAGTATCAGGAAGAACTGCTGGAACCTGGAGGAAAGGTTTTTGAGGAGAGAAGCCAGTGTTCCAACAAGCTGTGTAAAAGCTTGCATGTGGGAATTTTCAAAAGGTTATGCCAGAGTCAGTTTTTGTTATCTGCTTCCAATTCCCACTGACTGGAAGAGGGCAAGGAATTTATAATCTTCACTGTCACAGAATGTGGCCCAAGAAAACCCTAAAAAGGTCTTTAAAATTTAAACTTTAAAAATAATGTAAAAATTACATATCATCCATATTTGCTATTTCACCATAAAAAAAATTAATTCTTGTCAATTCAAACTGAAAAATAAGACACATTAGGTTTTACCCTTTTGCTTCAAATTCTCCCCATCCCTCCTAGAGTATGAATCTTCCAATTTAAGAACAACCATTGTAGGAATAGAAAGTGATTGGGACATGAAGGTCAGTCAGAGTTTGGTTGTACAAGGTTCTAAACAGCAAGCTAAAAACTTTAGAGCAATTTGTTATTCAAGTGTTTTGAACAGAAGAATTAAATGACAAAAGCAATGTCTTGGAAATATTAAGCCAAAAGCTTAATATTTTAAGGATGATTTTGCAGGGAAAAAGACCAGAAGTAGGCAAACTGGGTTGTGTGCTAAGCCATACAGTGCCATAGGGACTTCAACCTCAAGCATGGCAATAGAGGCAGGGATGTGGCTCAGTGGTAGAGTGCTTGCCAAGCATGCTCAAGGCTACAGATTCCATCCAGCAATGCAAAATAAAAGTGACATCAGGAATAGAGAGAATCAAGGCAATTAATACTAGGCTGTAAACCTGGATTGATACTTCTATCCTCCCCTCACTCCTACCTCAGAAGTTTTTTTAGTAAGAGAGTCATATTCCTAACATTAGACCCTGGGCTTCATCTCAAATATAAAATCAGAAGTTAGCCCTATGGGGATCACCAGTGAATTTCTTACTTAACAGTCTCAAATGATGACATTTGTTGAATTAAATCAAAGACCTGCTTAACAAACTCCTCTCAAACTCAAGACTTGGAAGAAAAAGTATTCTACTAGTGTAGAAATCTGCTTTCTATAGATCCACAGAGCTATTTAAACCCACAATGTCTTTGCATTTACTACTAGTAATCTCAAAGCTAAATAGTGTGCAGTTTAAAAAAACTATTGATTGGCCAGCATTTTTTCTTACTAATGTAAAGTACATGCTGCAGTAAAATCACAGCTATCAGGATTCAGATCCCCACTCTACTATTAAATCAGCTGAGTGACTTTAAGCACTCTGAGAGTCTCTCTTATAAAATTAATAGGACTTACCTTAAAGGATTCTTGTGAGATCAAATGAGAAATCCAGGCTGGGGGTGTGGCTCAGGGGTAGAGTGCTCGCCTAGCACATACGAGGCCCTGGGTTTGATCCTTAGCACCACATAAAAATAAATAGATAATAAAGGGATTATGTCCAACTAAAAAATAATATTGAAAAATGAGAAATCCCATAAAGTGCTTAACACATTGCATGCCCCATTATAAAAGCTCAATAACGTTAGTTATGGCTAATATTCATGAACTGGATTTTGTTTTAGCCTCCCTGTGCTTTTTTTTATGTTTTCTTAGGTCTTTTGAATACAGCTATAATATAAATCTAACAATAAATGAATAAAAGATAATAATAATAAATAAAGGGGCTGGGAATGTGGCTCAAGTGGTAGCGTGCTCGCCTGGCATGCATGCGGCCCGAGTTCGATCCTCAGCACCACATACAAAACAAAGATGTTGTATCCACCGATAACTAAAAAATAAATATTAAAAATTCTCTCTCTCTCTCTCTCTCTCCTCTCGCACTCTCTCTTTTTAAAAAAATAATAATAAATAAAGTTGGTCCTGAATGTAAATAAATCAAACTTTGAGATTTAGTCTTCTGGCAACTGGAATGGCAAATATAATGAATTCAAGAGTAATAATACATTTCAAAGGCAAACATTAGGGAGGAGGGTAAGATTATAAATTCAGTAAATTAGACAAAGGGGAATGAATAGAAGGGAGGGGGATAGGAAAAGGAAAAACAGAATTAATCTGACATAATTTTCCTATGTACATATATGAATACACCACAGTGAATACCACCATGGTGTACATCCATAAGAAAGGGGTCCTAATTAGAATAAGATATATTCCATGCTTGTATATTTATATCAAAATGGATTCTACTGTTGTATATAACTAAAAAGAATGAATAAAAGTTTTAAAAAGAAAGTAGAAAACAGGAATGGCAAAAATAAATATTCTACTGTTATTTATGGTTTGATAGATGAACATTATTTGGGGCAAGGATAGGGAGGACCCATCCATGTTTCAGGCAGGACTAAGACCTCTGAAGGGGATCTTTTCTTGGGGTCTAGCCTAGCCTTGGCATACCTTCAGTCAAGTAGTGCCTGAATATCAATCCAGAAGCTGAATTATCTCAATAAACTCAAAAAGTCTCAGGCTCACTACAAATGCATGATGGCTAAATTTACATTCATGCAATGGATTCTTTGTAAAGGAGCTGTTTCCAGTAAGTAAAAGCTCATTTCTCTTTTGTGTATGAATTGAAAATTGCTTAATGAGCATATCATAACAAGGAAACCATAGGAATTTGAGTGACACATGTTACCTAGGTTCTGGGAGAGTCCATGAAATATATCTGTCTATAAGAGAAAATACCTCTATAAAGACCTTGCTCCTATCCCCAAGACCCCATGTGCCTCTCCTCATTGGCAGTTCATGATGTACTCTAACAATATTTCTCTGAAACCTAGTTATTTTTATTTCTATGTCCATATGTACCTATATATTACCTCTGCTCATTAAGTTACTCTACGATGGGTATAGGACACATCATTTTCACACATAAAACTAGCCACACTGAATTTTCACGCTGCCATGCTTATAGTGCCTCCATGAGGTTTTCAGTGGTATTTGAAAATGGGGTCTAGAATGCAGGAAACAGGTAAAAGCTGGATATAGTAATTTGATCACCCTTGGGTTAAAAAAAAAAATTTACACCCAAAGCTATGGAAGTAGTAAGATTTCTGAAGTAAATAGTATTTTTAAAGGACAGAGGCATACACATGCAAATGATCCTTGCCTTTATAGCACATATCAAACTAAACCCACAATGTAGCTAAAAGTTATAACTGAAACTATAAAACTCTTCGAAGAAAATATGGGGGGAAGGCTGCCTGACATTAGACTTGGCAATGATTCCTGGATATGACACCAAAAGCACAGGCAATAAAACTAAAACTAGATGAATATCGGAACAAAATTAAAACTTCTGTGCATCAAAGGACATTATCAACAGAACAGAAAGGCAATCTCTACAATGGGAGAAAATATCTATAAATCATATATCTGATAATCTAATATATCAGATATCTATGGTATGTAAAGAACTACAACTCAATAATATGAAAACAACCTAATTTTATAATGGGCAAAAATCTGAACAGACATTTCTCCAAAGAAGATATACAAATTGTCCAGAAGCACATAGACAGATGCTCAACACCAATAATTGTTTTAGTCAGCTTTTTCACCACTGTGACAAAAGGACCCAACAAGAACAACTGTAGAAGAGGAAAATTTTATTTGGGGGCTCATGGTTTCAGCAGTCCCAAAACACAGACAGAAGCTTCCATTCCTCGGGGCTCGAGGTGAGGCAGAACTCATGGCAGAAGATTGTAGTAGAGGGAAACAGCTCACATGATGATCAGAAGCAGGAAGACTTCACTTGCCAGATACAAAATATATATACTCCAAAGCCATGACCCCAATTCCCAGCTCCACCAGCCACACCCCACCTGCCTCCAGTTACCACTCAGTAATTTCATCAGGTGATTAATCCACTGATTGGATTAAGGCTCTCACAACATGATCTTTTCCCCTATGAAACCTCTCGAATTGTCTCACATGAGCTTTTGTGGGGCACCTCACATCCAAACCATAAAACTAATCATTAGGTAAATGTAAATCAAAGAGACCATGAGATACTCTCTCAACCCATTAGGATGGCTACTATTAGTATTGGCAAGATGTGGAGAAATTGGAACTTTATATACTGCCTGTATAAAATGGTACAACTATGGAAAAACAGTATGAGGGTTTCTCAAAAAATTAAAAATAGAACACGACATGATCTGCCAATTCCACTTCTGGATATACCTAAAAGAAGTGAAAGCAGGATCTTAAAGATATATTTGTGCATGTTTGTTTATAGTAGCATTAGTCATAATAACCAAAAGGTAAAAGCAACTCAAGAGTCCATTAATAGATGAATGGCTAAACAAAATGTGAATGTGGTACATACATACTTTATGTCAAAATGAACCTAACTACTATGTTATTCAGCCTTCAAAAGAAAAGTTATGACAAGTGTAACAACGTGTATGAATCTTGAAAATGAGGCCATGTATAGTACAGGGTTTTCCATAAAAAAATGAACCAGCAAGATGTGGAGAGAGAGAAGCAGGGAGATTTATTTTAAGGAATTGGCTCGTAATTGTGGAGGCTTGACAAGTCAAAGTCTGAAGCCTTTGCCAGGGAAATTTAAGTATAGGGTGGCTGCAGCATATTCTCATGGTGAATCTGGAGAGAAAGGGATGTCATACCCAGGGATGTCCATAGAAATGGGCTTGGGGATAAAATTTATATGAGGCTGAAAGAATCTGGCTCTGGGCCAGGGCTAGTTTCTTCCAGTGTTTTGGGCAAGAACCTAAACACACCCTTATCAGTGCCTGGGAATGTTCAATGCCCCCACCTGGTTAAAGCCTCTGGGAAAACATGAAGTTGGACAGGTCACAGAACAGTTAAGGTACCCTGTTTCCAGAGAAAAAGTGGAGGAAACCATGAGACCCTACAATTGTTACGTGGTAGAGGGAACAAAGATTCAAACCAAAGCTTCAGAATGGTTTTTAAAGTGAAGGGAGGGGATCCCACAAAAAAAGAAGTGAAATCAGTAGAATAGAGGAAAGGAATTGAGGGGGAAGGAGAAGGAATAGAAATGAAATTGACCAAATACATAGTGAATTTCACCTTTATGTACATGTATAAAGTATCAACTAATTAAAACAATAAATAGAAGGAAGACCAGTCAAGTAGAGGAAGGGAAACACAGGAAAGGAAGAAGAGATTGTGAGAACAATTACTGGGACTGAAATGGAGCAAAATATATTCCATGCAGGCATGATTATTTCAAAATGAACCCAACTACTATGTTAACTATGACACTGATAAAAACATCAAAATAAATAAGTTAGTATGGTTTTAAGTTATCAAATAAGAACATCACTTACTTGGTGGCTATGTGATACACTGTCTTCAGTGATGGGAGAAAAGTAATAGTTATTCTGCAATACATAACCTATATGCCTCCCTTTAATGTTCTACCCTGCAATCTGAACATGCCTGTGTGTATCAAGAATGGGAATGTCTTCCAGCATGTGCAGAGGTGCAGAAAAAGATAGAAAACTAAGTTCCAAGCTGTTCTGAAATCATGTCCCTTCTTTTTGTCATGAGAACCTTTCCTAAATGTTGAAGGACATGCTTCTGGAGCTGTCACTAGGGTTTATCCCCAAATGCCAAGAACTGAGAATGAGGCCAGCCAGCTTTGGAGTGAGAAAATAAATTTACAAGTGCATATCCCATAGCCACCAATCCCCTAGGGAGAAAAGGACAATAAGCATAACATATCTTCCAAGATCAAAATGGCACATCCAACTGGACAAAAGCACTGACGTGCACAAACAACCAAAAAAAGCCTCGGTCACCAGCTTTAAATATTCACCGTGATGGCTAAGTAGGTGCTTTTTAGACAGACTTAGCTTCTTTTAATTGGACTTCTAGACATCATGCTTGTCTCCACTGAGGTTTTATATAAATTGCCAGTTATAAGCAAGGGGTTTTTCACATTTCCATTGTGCCATTTGCAAAAGGAATTTAGAAAACCTTGGAATCAATTCCAGATTACATATTAATGCTTGTAACATTATCTGTTTCCCATTTGACAATCTTGAAGGAGGTACTTTTTTTCTCTCTGGGGCTTCCTCTGATGCTAAAACCTTGAGAAAATTAATGCTAATTTGGCTCAGCCTGGAAGTATGGGAAGCCTGTATCTCACATCGTCATCCACTTTTTTCAGGATAGTACTGACCATCAATTAGATAGGCACCCTGGGATCATACATTCAAAAGCTGAAACCAGAGATCAACTCAGACTCTGGATCCCTGAGAACTATCTACCTAGCCCCATGCATGTCCTTCCCAAATGTTAAGTCATTATTGCATAATTCCATTTAGAATCATTCTTGTCACTGTAAAAATATCACTTGTTTCATTGTATAAAATATTTCAAACACAAATTGTTTTTGAAAATAGGAAAGGAAAACCGGGTGTGGTAGTATGCACATCCAACTGGACAAAAGCACTGACTTGGCACACTAAAGCAAAGGGATTTTAAGACAGGAAGTTCCTGTCAGGTCTGAACAACATAACAAGACTCCGCTCAAAAACAAGTGAGGCCAAGTGCAGTGGCACATGCCTGCAATCCCAGCATCTCAGGAGGCTGAGAGAGGAGGATCACAAGTTCAAAGCCAGTGACAGTAATTTAGTGAGGCCCTAAGCAACCAGTACCAAAGCAAAAAAAAAGAAAGAAAGAAAGAAAGCAGGGTTGGGGAAGAGGAATCACTCATACTTAGTTACCTTGTAGTATTTTTTTAATACTGAAGACAGAATTTTGTTTTACAAACATAGGACTAATATTTTTTTCTTCCCATAAAT